ATATGGAAGGTTTAATGGTTAAAATTAAAGTAGAAATCTAGCCTTCCAACTCCTGCTAAATGGAACACAAACAGACCTGGCATTTCCAAGGAGATAAACATAATCCAATTTTATCATTCTTTTCCCCTTACCAGATTCGACACCAACAATGGCACGTTAAACAGAAAAATGAAATTTGTTGCAGCAATCCACTAAACACATAAAAGGAACAACAATGTGATAGTTAAAGCAGTACTTGAAATCATCAGTGATGCTTAAGGGTGATCCTTAAAATGTGAGATAGAGACATTCAAATTCAATATTTCTGTAAAAATCTTCATTTGAAACCATTTATCAGGGCAAATTAACACACCCTAAGATTCTTATGAATTTGTTTAAAAAATTGCTAGTTCCCTAGGGAAAAAAAAAGGGGGCTTTTAGCAAACTCTGTGTAAGCCTTGTGGCATAGAAAAATCATGCTAGATAATAGCTCTGTGGTTCACTTTGATATTTTGAAATGGAGACTCCAGTTTGCAATCCAAAGTTTAAAAATTATTAAAATAGTATTTTTTTTCTTAATTTTTGAATTTTCATTTTATAAAAAAATCTAATGTTTCAATCCCTTATCCATTATCCTCCGTCACCATAAGTGATTCATTTTGGTTTGAATAATGCCAATAAATATGTCACATATGAGCTTAATTTTTGAAATAAATAGATTTAGGTAAGTCAACATGAAATTGAAATTCAAGTATTTCTTTCTGTTTAATCAATTGTCCACTATACTTGGAAAATAATGGAAAGAGTTGAGTCATTAATTGATGCAGTGGAGAACAAAGACTCTGAAAAGGCAACAATTGCTCCATGCTCTATGGATGACATAGACTAATTACCTCTTCTAAATTTCAGATCATTTGAAGAAAATTATGTTAAAGATTTGCTTGATGACTTTATTTAGAGCAATTTAGTTATTCCAGCAGACAAAGGACCTTACCTATTAGAACTTCACAGCTCTTATATTCGAACCTTTAATTATTATATAATAGTGGAAGAATGTTATATAACATCTATGCGAACTTCAACACAGATAAGTGTTAAGTTCTAATATTACATCTTTATTAAAGTATTTAGATCTTGTTTTCGTGATGTTATTATTTACTTGTCTAAAGTAAATGGTTGGTATTGTTGTTAGCATGTCACTACTACTTTCATTTTTATTTAGTTAGGCTCGAATTATTTAAAAGTTATTACATATGGGAAACTTGAAATTAGTATATTATATTGTATTGACATTTTATTATTTTATTTTGCAAAGCGTTAAGATTTTTTTTAAAAAAATATTACATAAACATACAAGTGCAGATAAACTAGCATTTTAATATATGAGAATAATTTTAAAAACTAACATTATATTTTTAATAAAATATAACGGTAAGAGCACAATGAAGTAGCTGCAAGATATTTTTGCAGGCAACCCGTCCCATTCTATGATATTTTTAACGTAATCTTACATATTTAAAAAGACAAAAATGTCCTCACACCATTTGACACTTTCATTAAAAATGATCACTTGTATCCTTTGGCCGTTTGTTTAACAAAACACTGTCAAATTATTTTTTGCTGCCACAATTTATAAAATCCACTTTATATTTTTTAAATTTTGCATCTAATATCCTCTATTTAGATTTACTTTATCCTATTTTCCTATTCTTTTCATCTTATTTTTTGTCTTTATTTTATTTTAACGAAATTTTAAAAAAAATTGATTCAAGTGTATTTATCTTAAAAATTTTAAATTATTTTATAAAATTTATATTTCTATACTTTCTAGCGTCAAAAAGAAAAAAAAAAGAACAGGTAAAAATAAATTTTGAATGTAGAAAAGAATAGTATCATATGTTCAAAGGAAAAAAAATAATGTTGAAACATATAAAAAAAAGAAAAAAAATATATTTACTTTTTTAAATTTTAATCGAAATTACATAAAAATTTATTAATTTTTAAAATAAATATTTCATTTTAATAAAATATTTTTCATTAGACACGTAGATCCAACTATTAATATTTTTATGTACTTGCTGATATTTCAAAAATAAAAAATAATTTTACTTTTAATTAATTAGTATAATAATTATTATATTTTTTATTTTTAATTAATTAAAAAAAAAACTCCCCATGTGAAGCACTGGAGCTCCCCTGGGAGCTCAATCCGCGGTGAGCACCTAGTGCTCTCTTGGAAGTCCCGATCAGACTTCCCATGGGAGCATAGGTGCTCCCCTTTCTTGGCAATTGGTGCTCCTCATTTTTTTTATTTTTTTGAAAAAACATATTAATAATTTTTTAAATTAATAAAAAAAAGTATTTTAATTTTTATATAATATTTGTTAAGGATGGTTGTATTTTTGAAATAGAGTGTCTATTTTAAAAATTAATAAATTTTCATATAATTTTAATTAAAATTTAAAAAATAAAAATATTTTATGCAAAGGTAAAAAAGATGGATAGAGAAAATGGAATAGAAGGAGTACTTCTATGATTTTGTTTGGTTGTTGTAATATTATTCATGTTATTTACTTTTAATATTTTAAAGCATTATTAAGCAAACAGTAAACACTAGAACAATAACCATAAAAATGAACAAATGATTACAATAATTAATAATTCTAATATAAATGTTGTATATAAAAATAAGATCTTTCATTCTTAAAAAGGAGTTATATTTTTATGCTTTAAAATTTTTTCTAAACAAAACTGTTTACATTTGTATGTAAGCACTAATATTTTTAATATTTCCTCTCAAAAGAAAAAAAATAATAAAAATAATAATCATATATTTACTTTTAAACATAACTTATAAAACAAAAGGTGAGTTATCTAATTATTATACTTAATTTTTTAAACATGAGTTATCAATATATTAAATGAGTACAAGATAATGTAGAAACTAGCTTCTAAATTTTTTAGATTTCATCTGTGTGCATAGGATAATAATAATTTTATTTAATCGTAAGTATTTTATTTGAAATTTCATATAAAATTCACTTAGTACAATTCACTGATGTTAAACTTCGTTATGGATTGAGTCAATCCATAAGTTTATGCAAAAAAATATATTCAATTGTCATTAGTAATAACAAAGTAATATCTTTTACGAATTTTGATAGTAATTTTAAAATATTTATTATTTAAATTTGATAATAAATAATAATTTTTAATATTAAATTTGAATTATATATATATATAATCTGATGCAATCATTTGATTAATTTACAAAGTATGTGGTTGTGTATGGTTAGACATAAATATCATATATTATTTTATAATATAAATTAGGATTTAAGGGTACTCTTTTCTTCTGGATCAAAATTTAAGGTTAGAATTTGGGGAAAAAGTAATACAAATAATTTTACATGGATATTTCTGTAATATTGCAGCATTATTGATCGCCAGCAACCGACAACCGGCGAAGCCGCCGCAAAGGCAAATTTGAACTTTGCAATTACAAGTAGAAAACCTGAACAAAAGAAACGTTCCTTAACAAAACTGAGTTTCCAACATTTCAAACATCACTCAGTTTCATCAAAATCATTTCTGATCTAATTCCCTCCACGTAAAACTTGAAATCATCAAAGTCTTTCTCTAATTCTTCTTTTCGAATCTGTTATTCTTTGCCTGTTAAAGCGAATTCTTATCCGGGTTTTCCAGATTTGTTTGTGAGTCAGCATTCAATAATTCATGTAGGTTGGTAAATTAAGTGGATTTTCCACCTTTACAACAAAATTTCGTTTAATTTCTTTTCTGGGAAATAATTGATAATATGGGTTCTGCTGATTTTTTCCTGAAATCGGTGCCTCGTTTATCAGATCGTGTGTTTTTTTTTTCTCCACCCGTTACGGTTTGTTTGATTTGTTTACATTATACGTTACTGAATATCATCTGTTCCTTATGAAACTTTGAAATGAAAACATTTTCCCTTTGAGGTTGTTAAGAACATCTTAGTTAGGTAGGCTCATCTGATTTCCAGCTAGGATGTCCCTTTTTAAGTTTAGTCAAATTTTATCGTACTTAAAATTTGAATCCCAGTCTCTTAGGCTTTTATATGTTTCGAATTATATATCTAGAATTTATTTAATTAAGGGCATTCTGTAATTTGTTGTCTACTACTTGTTGCGTTGAAGAATTTTTGCTTATGTGCAAAATTTTATGGAGATATATGTGTTGCAACATTTGTGAAATTTCTGTGATCTGATTGTGCTATTTTTCTTGTTTTTAAGAACTAAATTTTGATTTTTTTTTCCTGCTTGACTATTAGGTTTTTGTCAATGTGCCTCCATTGAGGCGAAGGATATCTGCTTTGCAATGGATGAGTTACCAGACCAGTTAGTTTGGGAGATTTTAGGCTGGGTTAGGAAAACTGTAGACAGGAACTCTGTTTCCTTAGCGTGTAAACGCCTTTATGAACTGGATAAAGAACAGAGAATTTCTCTTCGAGTTGGTTGCGGATTAGACCCTGCAAATGAAGCTTTGACTTCCCTCTGCAATAGGTTTCCCAACTTAACAAAAGTAGAAATCACTTACTCCGGTTGGATGTCCAAACTGGGCAAACAAATGGATGACCAAGGGCTCTTGATTCTTTCTGGCAACTGCCCTTCACTAATTGATCTCACTCTAAGCTATTGCACATTCATCACTGATATGGGTCTTCGTTACTTGGCTTCTTGCTCCAAGCTTTCAGCCTTGAAGCTGAACTTTACCCCAAGAATTACTGGGTGTGGGATACTGTCCCTTGTTGTAGGCTGCAAAAACCTCACTGTTCTCCATCTTATCCGCTGCCTGAATGTTACCAGTGTTGAGTGGTTGGAATATCTTGGCAAGCTTGAAACACTGAAGATCTATCAATTAAAATTGTAGAGCAATTGGGGGGTGATTTAATAAAGTTAGGACCAAGTTGGCAAAAGCTAAAACGGTTGCAATTTGAGGTGGATGCTAATTACCGCTATATGAAAGTTTATGACCGGTTGGCTGTAGATCGATGGCAAAGGCAGTGGATCCCATGTAAAATATGGAAGAGCTGAGCTTGGTAAATTGCATCATCAGCCCTGGAAGAGGGCTGGCTTGTGTTTTAGGGAAGTGCCAGAACTTGGAGAAGATTCACTTGGACATGTGTGTTGGCGTAAGAGACTCTGACATTGTAAGCTTAGCACAAAAATCTAGTAATCTCCGATCTATATCCCTCCGAGTTCCTTCTGATTTTTCATTGCCTTACTGATGAACAATCCATTAAGATTAACTGATGAGAGTCAAAGCCATTGCTCAAAACTGTTTGATGCTTGAAACGGTGAGGATATCTTTCTCCGATGGAGAGTTTCCTTCATTTTCGTCATTTACTTTAAGTGGAATTTCTAGTGTGATCCAAAATTGCCCAGTTCGGGAACTTGCTCTTGACCATGTCTATTCCTTTAATGATGTTGGGATGGAAGCTCTATGCTCAGCTCAGCATCTAGAACCTTGGACTTGTGAATGAGAAATAAGTGATGAGGGGCTGCAGCTTGTAAGCCAGTTTCCCACCTCTCTGTTTGGCGCTGAGCAAATGTTTAGGGATTACTGATGATGGATTCAAAACTCTTGTAGGTTCGTACAAACTGGACTTATTGGCTGTTGAGGATTGTCCGCAAATTTCTGAAAGATCTATACATGGAGCTGCTAGATCTATATCATTCCGGCAGGACTTATCGTGGATGTATTGAACTTTTTATGGCTTGAGTGGCATAATTATCTGGTTTCTGTTGTTTATGCAGTCTTCTGTATCCTTACCGATTACAATGAACATTTCCAGATGTTGTTGCATCTGATTATTGTATTACCTTTACATGAAATGTAACTGTTGAAAATAACTTTTGTATATGCTATAGTTATATAATGATCATTAAAAATGCTATGCAATCTCAATAATTGCTGAAATTTATATTTTTTTATTCTCCTTTGGTAAACACTGTGCGATGAATTATGATCATTATTTACAGGTTATAGTAGCTACCAAAGTTGAGAAAAGTCATGAACTTGGTGGAGCTTGCCAAATATAGCAGTATTGAAGGTACCTGATACATGACATTAGAAAGAGCAACAAATAATTTAGTGCATCAGGTTTATGATATTCCTGCTTCGAATAGTAATTTGAGATCTTTTGCTGATAACTGATCTGTGGGAACCTGTAATTTTATATCCACGCAACACCTTGAGCTGAGGGAGTTGGACAATGGTTGCCTGATGTTGGTGATCAATATGCATTACCATTAAACATATATTGTCTTAATTTAATTGTTTAAGCATTGTACATTATTATATGATATTGACTCGCACAATGCACGGGGATAGAAGACTGCAGCATTTTGTTCACTTGTTGGGGTGGATTTTACTTACCATGGAACTACACAAATCCTGATTGGATTGATGTCCGAAAGAAGCAGTATGCTGCTAACAGTAGTAACATGTTGGAGCGTTGTGGTGTTATAGAGGTATGTAACCGTGTGAGAGGACTTTAGCATAGCACCATTTCTACTCATGTAAGTTGACATATTAACTTAGAAGCAGGTTACCCATGTCAGCAGATCATTTACATTTTTTGTCTCAAGGAATTCATTGCTGTTCTTCCTCTTGACATCTGAATGTCTGATATTGTTTATAGGGTTTTCTCGTATTTGATGAAATAGGAAAGAGTGAAACATGTATATATGAAGTATCGATCAAATGTAAAGCTAGAGATATGTCTTTTGTATTTATTGATATAGGAAAAATAGAAACATATGAGGTATCAAATGTAAAGCAAGAATATCATTATGGAACTACTGGCTGGAATTTCAAATGATAGCTTAATCGATGTCATCTTAGATGGATTGGGTTAAGAATTTTCATCTGTTCTGTTGAAACAAAGGTTGTGGGGTTCCTTCATGACATGTCTTCTTAAACCTGGAATATGAATGTTTAAGAAGTAATGCTCCCAGTCTATGCTCTGTACATCAAACCCAAAGTTCTCTCTCTCCTCGATAGACATATCTCTGATTAATTTGATAGTGTTGCCGCTGTCAAACCTAGATAAAAAAGAAAGAGAGATATAAATTAATGTTAAAAAAAAAAGAGAGAGAGAGTAAGTGAAATTAAATGGAGCTCTTTAGTATCCAAGCATTTAATTTAATGGTTGACATATACTTACGAATAATCCCTCTTTCCTAAATCAAAGGAAAAATAGAATTTTTTAAAATAATTCATGAACCTCTCGCGTTAACAGAGTATAAGTTCATAAGCAATTATTATTATTACATGAATTGGTCTATCGGACGAAGTACTCATTCATAGTGGGTCTTATATTTTAATTTATTAATTGGTTTATATCATATATCAAAATTTTATTCCTTCAATAAAATTTTAATGATTTGATTGATTTGATATTTAAATTTGAATTTTTTATTTGTTGATTTTTTACTTTTTTTAAAAGCAATTCGTTGATTGTTATTATTAGTAATTCATATAAATTACGGTTATAACTTATAAAGTCAATCATATCTAATATTTACTAAAAAGTGAAAAAAAAAAGTGTAATATGTTTAAGAGTAGGTTTAGAACTAGCTTTGTTATTAACTATTTGTGTACTTTATAGATTATTTTTTGTTTTTAAAGTTATTTTTTCACTTTTTTTTAATTTCTTTGTTTCTATATATTTGGAAAGAATGAATAATAAAGGGCAAAATAATAATGAAATATTTTATGTATTATGTATAATTGTGAAAATTGAATTTATTTATACTAATAAAAATTTATCTTTACTTTTTTTATAATCCCCAAGGATCTTGAAATAAATCAAAATTATAAAAAAGTTAGAAATACAAGAGTGAAAAAGAGAGAGGATATTTCATATTTCATAATCTTTTCAAGTTACTTAAAAACTAATAGTTGATATTATATTTATTATTTTCAACTAATTTAATATTTAAAAAAGAAAAATAAAGTTCAAGTCATTTCAGATTAATTGTTTGGATCATATTTTCATTGATTAAAGTCCAGATAGACAGATTCAGGTTGTTGATTTTTTGTAATCATATCAACTCGAACCAGATGTTTATATTCAAATTATTAACTTTAATAACTCTTAACTATCATATCAATAAAAATTTGAAAAAAAAAAAGTGTTACTCAATGTAGGTATATTCTAAAAATCAGAGCAAAATCTTGCATGAGAAGAGGAAGGCGTCCTAAGAAGCTAGTATATGCAATTAATGCCAAAAGCAGCGCAGCGAATATGAGAATAGTGTGTGTGCGCTTTGGGTTGGGGGTTATCTTACCATCCTCTATAGATGAAAAGGCTCATATAGCTTGCGAGGTGAATGTACAGCTTGATTTTCCTGTATTCAGTTTCTTGCCTGCGACGTAGCTTCGGGTCTGAAGAAGCTGCACCCCTTTCAGCTCATTTTGTCCAACTGTACTTTCACCCCAAATGTAAGAGGAGAAAATGTCTGCTGATCTGAACAACTTGATGTCTGTAGTGCCGGTAGTTTTGGGCCCTGTCAAGTTCTTTATAGGAAAACAATTGAAGTGGTCACTTGAAGACTGTAAAATTGTATGTAAATTCACTGGATTTGCAACGGATGAAGTGACATGGTAGACAGTTAGTCCAGGTTTTCCAGTGAGTCCTTGCTTTGCCATGGCTGCCATTGAGGCATTCACAACCATGTCTACAGGAACCTACATGAGACACAGCCCGTAGCCGTGAGTACAGCCAATATGGAACAATCAAACAGAAACCAAAACAAGTTAGATTCTTACAACGTCCATCACTGTTTCAGGGTCCCCGACAAAGCCTGTGAGATGACCTTTCGCATGACCAATTATAATCGGGTCTAGCATCCTGTATAGCGTAAATACATACGGATATATATTTCAATTTTCATGTTGTAAAGTTTGAAAAATAACAAGTAATTATGTGATGAAGTAAATGAATGAAGCTTTTTATATGGAAGTCATATGGAGCTGCCTGCTGCCTTCTATCCATCCAGGGAAAGGCTCCCTGAAGGTGCTCTCAATAGCGCTAGGACGGATGATGACAACGGAATATCCCCTCTCGTGCTGTTTATAAGCATTTCACCCATGGCCTTGGTGAAAGAATATGTATTTTGCCATCCATACGCTCTTGCCCTGTGATGATTGATTTGTATTCAACACAATTCCAAAAAAGATATTATTAATTTTTCAAGCACGAACCAACTAACGTTATATTTGTTGGGTAAATGCGTTAAGGGACATTGGAAGAATATAATTACCTCTCCATGCCCAGCTCTTTCATCTTCTGGTTCCAGGCTATTTCAGTGCCAGAGAAAGATCTCTTCAAGTTCAAAGCCAGCTTTATTTCAGTCTCAATATCCAGAACTGGAATGCTTTCTTCTGCTTCTGCTACGCTCTGACCCTCACATAAAGGCCTCTCCAAGATTATCCCTTCCCTTTTTCCATGGACATATGCTGTAGAAGCAAGCTCCGTGATTCAATTGCGCTGCATGGCTTTTCTTACTTGAATGAAAATTTAGTTTAAATTGTTGGCTCTCATACCAGTTGAGAAATGCAAGAAAAGACTTAGTTTCTTGCACTTCTTTGCAAAGCGTAGGAGCCGATGAGGTCCCATGGTGTTTGTGTTGAGTGTAGCATCATACCTATATACGTGAATTGCTTGAAATTTTATTAGTATGCGTAATTGCGAACAATTAAAGTCTATAAATTTCAATGAAATGCTCAATATAATATATATATATATAAATTAAAGAACCTATCATCAAATGTTGTATTGGCTGCTGAATTCACAATTATATCAACTTCATTGGAATCTCACTCGCCATATCAGCATCCATACCAAGATCAGGTTCATTGACATTCCCAACAACTGGAACCAGCTTACTCTTCATGAAAGTTTTATAGGAAGTTCCATGCACTTGTTCTAGAGACTTGAAAAGTTCTGTGTCCATGATCTGAAACAGATTAAAGACTTTGAGGTGGCGTTACACTTTGAGAATTTAACTCAATTAAGTATATACGTAAGACTATGAGCGTGAGTCAAATTACATCCACTGAAACACTTTAAATACTACTCCATATATATGAAAAGGAATTTAGAAATATACTTGGTCGTGCAATCTCCTCGTAGCTGCTTCTTTATCTTTTCCCTTAATCAAAAGAAATATCTTCCCCACATTAGGCACTGCTCGCAGCATCTTCTCAACGAAAGCTGCAATTGTTAGTAACGAAACATGCAGGCATCAACGTTAGACGCACGCGCTGCCTAGCTAGCCACATAATACGTGGTAAATTCTGGTTTTTTTATTTATTTTAGAAATAGGATGTCAAGTTCATTTCATATAATGGATAGCAGAGTGCAGATGAAACATGTTTGTCGTTGAGAGTGATGTATGAAGCCCAATATATATATGTATAAATTGTAGTAGCTTTGGCCTAGACAACTATTTCTACTATATTTAGCATATCCAGGAAAAGATAAAACACCTTTGCCTACAAACCCTGTTGCACCGGTGAGTAGTTCTCCTGAAGGAAATCAACAATCCCAAGACCATCAGAGGATTCATTAGAGGGACGGTGGTGAGTTGGTGGTTGTTGAAATGGCGTCATCATGATCAACATTCTTCCCAGCAGCCCTGATTGCCAAAGCAGACTTGATATTCCTGCTGTTTTGGCAACTGCTGATGAACAAAGGAGATATATGGGTTTTGGGGTGTAAGCTGTTGGCAACGGTGCAGCCACTAGGTATTGCAGGGTAGAAAGGGTCCACAAGGAACTTTGGAAGGAATACATTATGATGAGGAACTAATTCCTTTTAAAGAGCTTTGAGGCTTCAACTTCTCTGCAGCAACCTTTATTCAAACCAGGGAAAATCAAGGTACTTGCTGGTCGCAGTAGCCATAGGTACGGGCTTTTATATATATTGTTCTTCGAAATTAAAATTCATAAAATTATATATTATAAAATTAATTTTTATCTGATTCAAATTTGGGTATTGGGACTGTCGAATTTGCATCTACTTTTTGAGCAATTTCACAACTGCATTTGTTTGCAACAAATTATTACCATCTTTATTTCGGTGTTGATTTTTAACCTAATTACTTTTACCTAATTTGGCGGACAGTTTCACGCGTTGAATTAAGGCTTAGTGTCCAGTACTGCTTTAGACTTGATTGCTTATTAACGCGATAGGTTCTAGATTAGAAGTGATCTTTTCCATTTTGGGAGTTGAATTTGTTGGATCTTTAACATGCTTTTTTCTTTACATTTCTTTATGTTCTTCATGGAGTGGAAACTAGTTAATTGTTATAAAAATTAAGGCTTAGTTGTTATAAAAATTAAAGAGTGATCCTAGCTTAGATATGGCAATCACAATCTAGATTACCCTTTTTCCCCTTCATGTTTATAGGTAGGGTAATATCTATTAACTCCTCTTGATAAACACTTGATAATGTTATTTTCATATTTGGTGTCACATAGATTTTGGTTTTAAATAAGAAGAAACATTGGAATGCTGTTCTCGTTTGCTGAGAGTGGTCTACGTTTCACAATGATGAAATGTGCTGAAGTATCATCATATGCTTTTTGTGGTTGCAGCGTGGGAGCATTCAATCTCTTGAAATGTTGCTCTGATGAAAATTTGTTAAATGTTTGGTAACTTCAAAAATGAAAATGAATGGAGATTTCATTGTTTGTGATATCATTACAACAAATGCATATCATATTTACAATTCTATATTTAGTGAGCTTGATTCAGAGACAAGGGAGTTTGTTCAATTCTTTAACCAACGTTTGAAAAACAATTGATTGTGATTTAGGCAATCATAACTGGTTATAATGTGGTGATTGTCTATGATTTTTGGAGAATAGTATTCTCTATAACTTTACTTCTAATATAAAAAATTGATGGTTAATGTTGATTTGTGATATCTATTTAAAACTTATTAAAATTAGATATACAGGTTTTTGAAGGATTTTATCTACACGTGATGTTCTAGTACTAAATTATGCAGTACTTGTGAAGTTGCTCGATATGCTTCATGTGACATGTTGGATATTCCTTAAGCACCAAATGCAAGTGGCCCCTTTGACCCGTGATGCAAGGCACTTACCATTACAAGAGAGATGGGGCACCAACGGAGCAGAAGATTTCCATCCTCTGTCTAAGCATGTAGTTAACATTCTCCTTATAGAAAAGCACGTTATTGGATTATTAACACTATTAAAGATCTTTTCCAAATCATCACGACTCCTTGGCAGAGATGAGATGATGAGAATCACGGAATTGGCTCCTCTACATCTGGATCCAATACATTTGTTTAAGTTTCCCAACTTCCACGCCAAAATCATGAGAATAATTTATTTGGCTTCAGTGCCTAATTAAACTCGAATCTATGGAAGGGTAGCATATTTTCACTTAACTTTTCATTATGTATAGCGTTATAAGGTTTAATGGAAGTAATTGAAGGGTGGATACCAATAAGTAATAACACTCTTTTTGCTCTACACTAGTCCTTTTAAACCTTTTGCTCTTAAACTTGAACTTGTTCTGCTTTTACAAAGCTGACCATGGAATCAAAATTGTTATAATACAATACATTTTGTAGTTAATTTAATGAAGGTCAATTATTGTAACTTTTATGTGTAATTATAGAAACGATGTACTAGAAAACACAATTTTAGATCATTAAAAGACATAATGTAGGTCTTCAAAAGAGACAATGTAATTAGGGTCACCAAGCTCATATATATATATATATATATATATATATATATATGTACACATCAATTATTGGTCCAAGAAAAGTAAAAGAAGAAAAAAAAATAAAGAAATGTAAACATCAAATCTTAACTAAGGCTGGGAACAAAACAACAACTAACAATTATATTGTCCATCTATGCCATGGTAATTGTACAAGTTTCTTATGTTCAAACTGGTATGAGAGTCTCTGGTCTACAAGGCTATAAATTTGAAATGACATATCGATTGTGAGACTTAAAAAATTACTTTTAGAGAAAAAACTATCTTGTCGATCAAATGGAAAAGCTTTCAAGGGATACCATCATATATATTTCATACTATATATAAAGCAAACAATTAATTTCTAATAATATGAAAACTATATTCTCTAAAAAAGGCAATCAAAGGTACAGTACACACAACTGTGTGAATATAACCTCGGATAGATTAATTAAATTAGACTATTTAGACTTTGTGGGTATTCATTCATTTTTTTTTTATTTCATGCATGTGAGAGGATCTTCTGTTTAATTTTTTTTTTATTTTGAAAAAAATGGGAGAGGGTTAATTAAATGCAACACAATATAAAAGTTGAAGAATGAAATTTCATAAAATAATGGATAATATCCAATGTGATCAACAATCAAATTAACTACTGCATAGTTGACTAAGATTATCGTACTTGGGAGTTAATATAAAAATATAAGCATTATACTTATAAAATATATACACTATTATACATTAAATTCCCTCGTGCAATTTATAAAATATATACATTAGTATAGGACAAATTTTCAATTGATCCATTGAAAATTAAAATGAGAGTTAATATAAAAAAAATTACGAATCAATAAATAGTTAGTGAAAATAGAATCATATGTAGATTTTGTTCCTAAAAGATGAACTCAAAAGAATCATACGTGCCTGTTATTATTCATGCTTAGTGTTAATGAACAATATCTCTCGGGTTTTTTCAAATTTTTTTAACATATATGTTTTTAAAATTAATTAATTAATAATTGACGCATGTTGCATTAAGATATATTTATATAATGAACAAATTAATCAATTATTAAATAAATATAGAAACCATCTAATTCTGTTCGTGGAATTTAAAATCTCTACCACTAATGTATAAAGTAATAATTTTAAAAAATAAAAAATAGATCAAGAAAATGAAAAAAGGACAAAAAAATCTAAAGCCCAAAATACCTTTTGCCCACTAAAAGGCCTTAAGCCCATATTTCGATTTCTTTTCTTTTGGTTTTTCCTTTCTTCTCTCCTCTCTTTTCTTTGGTTTCACGAGTAAGAACTAAGAACTAATGAGCTTTTTCAAGTCATGATTTTCTTTTAAATGAGGCAATTAAAATTTCTGTTTTGAAGCAATGAAGTAATTTAATTATACTTACTTTGTCCCATTTTTATTGTCTTTATTTGATTTTATGATTTTTTTAAAAAAATCTTTCACTTTGATTTATTTTTATTGGAATTTGACTAAAAATATAAAAAATGATTAAAAATAAAATTGAAATATAAAAAAATAAAAATATTAAGTATTAAAAAATGGAATACATAATTTTAATATATTCAAAACAGGAAAATAAAACAAAAGAGTAAGGGTGTCAAGAAATCAAGTTACTGGTGAGGTACTCAAGGCTGTGCTAGATGAATACTCGAGTTAGACTTGTTCACTTCGGAGTAATAATTTGAGTCAAATTTAATTTTTGAGATACTTTACTTAATATCAAATTGGAGTATCAACTTAAATAGGGTTTTAAACACTTTACTTAAGTTAATGATAATCAATGGGACATGTTGAGTTGAATAATTAAATTATTTTTTAAATCGATGAAACACAAAAAAAAAAAAGCAACTTGATTGATCCAACTGAGCCACAACATGGCATTATATCGAATCAATTTGACTTGATTATACATTGACGAAGGAGTAGTTGAATTTTTTGGGGACTATAATATTTGAAGGTAAATTGATTTTTGTCAAAAGAGCTTAGACCTGTCAAAATGGGCCTGATTCATTGGGTCGGTTCATTTTTTATTTAATATGAGGTGGGTTGGGTTAGAAAATTTAAGTTCATATTAAAATCGGGTCTAAATAGGTTAACCTACCAAATCAGTAGGTTGAGGTGGGCTGGCTCTTATGGGCTAAAAAAATAATTTTAATTAATTTAGTAATTTTATATATTTAACTATATAAAATTAATAATTTAGTTATCAATGATATTGTTTATTTTATATATTTTAATATCTTTAATCTTTACTTTTCAAATTAAAAATTTTAATTTAGACTAAAACTTATTTTTTTTTATGCTAATGAATATTAAATGATAAATTGATAATGATTTAGACCTTAAGATATCATTACTGTCTAAACAAGATTTAAATGTTTTACTTGAGAATGAGGATTAAAGAGGATATAAATGAGTCTTAAAATTTTTATTATTTGGTTATATACTTATGTTTGTGAGATAGTAGTTAGTGTTAAAGATTTAAATTTTATTATGTAAATTATTTATTTTTTTATGTTTGATGTAATTTTTTATTTATAATATTTTTTATTATTCAATTTATGAATTAAATCACAAAATAATTTTATTAATAGAAAATTTATTAAGTAAAATTATAAAAATAAGTTTTTTTAAAAAAATAAAAAATAAATTGACCTAACTCAACTCATGAATTAACAAGAAGTGAGCTGAATTGAAATTTTGATAATTTATATAAAAAAATGAGCTGGTCCGATCCATATTTTTTTAATCTATAAGGACTTGGACTGAGCTGAACCGAATTAACTCATATTGACAGCTCTAAAAAGAGATGTACATTGCAATGGTAAAAATGATAATAAATTATGTTGAAATTCATGTGATTATGTAAAAAAAAAACATGTGTACTTTCCAGTTAACATAAATGAATAGTTCATAATGATAGGAAACCTCAATCAAACAGCAGTTTTCCCTCCCATTTATGAGGCGCGTGATCTTCACTGTCTCATTTAAAGACAAGACTCGATGACAACCAGGACATCGAACACGACTCCTGTCCCAAACCAAGAAATATCCACCGATTGCGCCAGGATACGATGTCGGACCCACGCGCCGCTTCCAACAACGGCGATAATGACTCCGGTGATAGTATGGATGCTGCCGTGGCTAAAACCGCTGGCTTCGTAGTCTTTTCAGGGATCGCTATGAGCATCCTCAAAACCCTAAACCCTTTCAACAAAGACAGGGACGCAACTCCACTGCCTCAACAGCCTGTCGCTGAGTCCACTCAGTCTTCTCTGACTCAGCCGATCCGAGATTCCCCGCCTCCTCCTCCTCCCCCAGGACCCATTATCACCAAGGTATTTAATAACTCACTTTACTCACTCACTTATATCCCATTCCAGAAAAATCGTTTCTTCCTTTAATTTTTTTTAATATTTTTGTCTGAGGGACTTTGATATATGCATATTTATGTGATTTTGTTATACTTTTTAATCTGTGTGGTGTTTTTATTGTAGAAAGCAAGTAGTAATATGGAGCAAAGAGTGCCAGAATACTCGGGAAATGTAATAGAGATTGTGAAAGGAGATACTCTTTGGGGTCTCTCCAGAAAATATGGGGTATGCATTTTCTTTATCAGCATCTGGAATTTCTTGATAAACTATCATTTTGAATTGCTATGTTGTGTTTTGCTTTGCATTTAGTGCTGAAAATCCAGATATATTGGAATTGGAGTTGGGGCTGTTGAGCCTTCTGAATGCCACGATCAACATTTACTTTAAATTCTTATCACCGTTTCAAGCAGTTTTTCTACTCCAAATTTAGCTTTAGGGCTGAAGCATAAAAATTGAATCTCCATAATTGAGCTTTTGAAGAAAGCTGTAATGAGAAGCTGAGAAACAACTTTTTGTTGGAAATTTTATAGATACAAAAAGATGATTTTAGTTATTCCGAATAATTCCAAATACCATAGAACTTTTTTAAATAGAAAAAGTTGTATTTGAACAAGATGTTTTCGTATAGTTCCCGCCACGCCAAACAAAATTTAAGATTTATCTGCAATTTTGATTTTATAATGTGGTTTCAGGTGTCAATAGATGCAATCAAAGAGGCTAATGGGCTTACAGGGGATACCATCTACGCTGGCAAGAAACTCATTATCCCATGATGTTGTTTTAATCTCTTCGTATCTGTTTTTCAGTTTTTCTCTTCCAAATTGGTTGTTAGACATGTAATTTTGCAAATGCTAGTGAAGAGTATCTGTCCCGTAGTTTGTAATTTCAACATGAGCAGATGGAGACCCTAGATCAGGATTGAGAATGCTGCTGCGCACTGTTCACAGTTCTATTTTAAATATTGTCTATTTAATTGCATTTGTCTTATTTACATTCTAAGTGTTTAGTGTCTGACTTATTTGTAAGGTTGTTCCTTGGCTGTACTTCTCTCATGCTTTGCAATTTATGTACAATCAAATGGGGCTCTGTAGTGAAGCAGATTGAGAGGGGTTCTGGTACAATAAGGATTGTGCGGAGAAAGAGTTGAGACTGTTGGGAGACCTATAACTCTTCAATCATAGGCATGTTCTGGTATGTTTGGGAACTAGATTGCTTTTGCCACCAATTTGGACAAGATGTTATGGTTCTCAGGGGTGATACTTTCCGAGCCAAAAATAAGAAGATAGCTGTGCTAACTTGTTATAGAGTTGTAGAATATTCACATCATTTTGTAACAAGAATAATAAGCTACTTAATACTTCTGGTTAACTGGCCCTAACACTGTAACAGAGCTCGGCTAAGTGTGTATACATACCTATTGTTAATTTGTTACATGCTGAAGTTAGAAATGTTATAGTGACATCTTGATAGCTTTGCTCCATGTAATGACAATTGCTAGCTTGCTTCTCCAGCTCTAGTTTCTTGAATTCACAGCAAATTGTATGATCTGACATATTGATAGGTCACAATTCTCCAAACACACACTATTACATTAACATATGAGCATCATTTTTTCGTTAGGTATGGTCATTGGTTATGATTGTTGGCGTACATATGCATACTCGTTTTAAGCAAGTGTAGCAGAACCGTAATGCATGGACAAAGTGCCTCAAATTTGGCTTAGGTTGATGGCTTTTGTGTTCTGGTGAAAAGAAGGAAAAGAACTTCCTCTCTATACCTTTATTGGGGCAATAAGTGAACAGTTTATGCTTTATGCGAGGTTCTTATAATATGCAAGTGACAAAATTAGTGTATGCAGGCATTGTTTACTACTTAGCAGTATTTCTAACATTCTTAGCAATACTGTATCAACAACTAATGATCTGCCATAACATCTTTTACGAGGGACATGGTTGTTTCTACCACGTTTGTGATATCTGTGGTGATGTGGACTGCAAGGTCATGGTGCATGAAAATATATTGAGTAGTTTCTTAATGCAAACCGGTCTTGTTCGTCAGTGGATAAATGATATTGTCAAAGCAATATGAAACTAAGCATGCTTCTCGCACAAAGGGGGATCAATGTGGCTCAATGTGATACCAATTAAAGTTGTACCATCAAATGCAATATTACAAGTAACACAAATAGCAATCTGCTTCTGAGAATTTTAAACTTAAACGTCAATGTGAAAGTATAACAATCCAATATACAATTGTGACTGGTGATATAAACACAACACTGTAAATTCTGATTGAAAACCAATAAGTTGTTCCATCATTCTTTTTGTCAATTTCTTCCCATAATATAAAACTCAACCGAACCTTTTCAAATTAAATAATGCAGTGCCTTGTAATTATACATTAGAGATGTAAAATAGTGAATATTCAAATCTTTAAACATAAACACTCAAAAACGTAGGTGCATCTGGGTAAATAATCTTAAACCAACTGAGATAAGCGAAATAAAAACTTTAGAATACAAAGGCAAAAACCAAAGATTTGCCAAAACTTGATAATTAAGAAGATTAATTGATTCTGGTCTACAGAATTATCAACCTAGGGGAGCAAAAACTTCATCTGGTTCTATCGCTCTTCGTATGGGCTTAAGAACCTATATTCTGGGACTTGTTGAGGATCACACCTTCATATTTGACCTGGAACCACTTCATAGCATCCTCCTTGGTAACCCTGTGCTGAATCCCAACACGGGACTTGCACCTACGGCGACGACCCACACGATAGCCCGCACGCTCCAGAACAACGTAGAAGTCCATACCATAAATACCAGTGGATGGGTCATATCTGGAAAATCAATATTGTTAAATAATAATTCAATGATATAGAAGAACCAATAATAATAAGAGATATCCCTAATCACACTAGTAGCAATAAATATTATTATCAAAGCATGGATATAGTTGATTTGCAAACCTCTAACAAGAATAGAATATATCCATACTCCAGAAACACTTAAAGATACCATTTACAATAGCAGATTGGCAAATAGTGATAATCAATTAAGCTACAAAAATTCCAAAGACAGGGTTAGGGTTACAAACACATTAGCTATAACATGAACAAGTTTGTCAACCATAAAGCAAAATGTCATTTTATAAATAAGCACAATACAGATTGCTTCCAAAAATAAAACAACTCACAACTTCATCCTAGAACCACGCACATTGGCATCATAAAAGAAAGGACCAGACACTTGACACCAATCAAGTCTAGAGACAATTACCATTTACCAAAACAAAGATAAAGGCATGCAAAACCAGCAAAAAATAGACAAGACCCTAGCTTTACAAGCTTTAACTTTCAAGAAATTTAATATCAGAGATTCCCACAAGTTGTTTATGTAGCATAAATTAGAAGTTAGTGAACTATTACATAGGTCCAAAAAGTATAATTACCATAACTCCATGTGCCAAATGACAATTTGAAATGATAAAAGCAACACAATCGTGTTCCCCCAAACTAACAATGAATTTTTAAAGGAAAGGGACAGAGCTTACTTAATTCCCAGATCAATATGCTCCTGAATACCAAATCCGAAGCAACCGGTATCGCTAAAGTTCCTTCGCAACAGCTCATATTCCTTAACCTTCAACCCACTCTCCAAAAGTTGCATCGCCTTCTCTCCCCTAACAGTGACGTAGCACGCAATCTTCTCATTACGTCTAATTCCAAAGGACCGGACAGTGTACCTAGCTGTTGGTATTAGGTTGCGGAAAATTAAGTATAATACAGGACAAATATGCAAGAAAGCTACAACAAATTAAAAAAACTGCAAATAGCTTCTCAATTTGGAAGAATAAAATAGCCACCGACTGCCCCTTCTAAAACTTGCAAATGCACTTTTCATTGATTAGAATTCTTAACTGCCTTATTTAAGTAATCACTCAGATTTTGGCTCACATATAATCTCAAATTCCTATAAAAACAATGGCCATAAAAATAAAATAAAATAAAAACTAATAGAAATAAAAAGAAGAAGCTTTCATATTTCACATTTGTCCAAACAAACCAAAAAGTTCTATCATCCACACTTTAGTTATATTAATCTGAAAAACAAAAATTCAACTAGAAAGGCTGTCGACAATTATGTTCAATTTAAATTAATAAAGAATACCCTTCTACTTCTGAAACCTCATAAATTAAGATACCAGTAATAAATAATATACTATTACCTTTTGAGAAAACGGGTGTTTGGCCGCTGAGTTGCTCCAACACCTGCACGTTAAGGAAAGATTCAATATAATGAGAGAGAAAAAAAAATGACGGCTGTATAGAATTTGGGTGAGGATAGCAGTACCTTGGCAGCCCTGGTAAGACGATCTCCACTTTCACCGACGGAGATATTGAGGACAAGCTTCTGTACCTTGATTTCCCTCATGGGGTTCGATAGTTTCTTCTCCGACGCCTGCTTTCATTTCGTCGTTAAAAGTTTTTTTAAAAAAAAAGGAAATGAAAAAACGAAAGCAGTATAAAAACAAAAAATTTTTATAGAAAAGAGTGAAAGAAAGAGAAAGACCATTTAGCTTGTTAGGACTGATGCTGAAGCTGAGTCCGCCGCCTGGGAATGAAAATGGAGGGTGAAGCAAAACAGCTTTCAATTAACCCTAACATGGAGACGACAGTGTTAAATTAGGGCTTTCGCAAATCTGGTTTCTTAAATGACCATAATACCCCTCATCTATTTCCTCTTTATTTACGAGTGCTTATGCTTGTAATATAGTACTGGTACTCTATATTTATATTTATATTTCTTAATATTTTAAGTAGTAATATATTTTTTGATAAATAAATAATAATATATTTAAACACAAATATTTAAAAATTTTAAATTTCGAAGTGTAATTAATGAAAATTTTGAAATACTGTATTAACTACAAATTATTCAAACTATTGGATTTAAAAATTTAAAATGCTTCATTATTTTATGAACTTACAACTTAAATTTATATAACAAATTATTCTTAAGGTTATGTTTAAGAACTTCAATTTGAAAGAAAAAAAAATCGATTTTCAAATTTATACCAAATTATACGATAAAATTTTGAAAACTTTTATGATCATATTCAAATTATAAGTTTATTATATCCTTATTTAGTGATAAATTTGAAATAATTTTACATATATTTTTATATACATGTTTATATAGGTATCTTAAATTTATTTCATTATATCGTTTTCAGTTATATAGGTGTATTAATTATTGAAAAAATTGTTATATAATGTTTGTATTCACTCTCATAATTTATAAAACAAATTAACTAAATTCACCAACTCCCTCTTCTAAGATTATTGCATTTTGCCTTTATTTATGGCCCAAGATTAACGAGCTTAGCCCAAATTGGATTAGGCTTGGATATGAGACAAATTTGCTTAGAGCTAAGTCATTATTGTACTAATAAATTTGCAAATTGCACTTGGGTGCATCAAATAAGTTTGGTTCAATTATCTTTATCCCCTAGAATTTTTAAATATAAATGTCCTTAAGCATTTCTTAAACCATTTTATCAAAAGGAAAATTATCGTATTAGAGTTTTTGGACTCTACAAGTAGAGTTTTTTTTTTTGTTTTGTTGAAAGGTGAGTCTATAAGTAGAGTTAAGAAATAAACATGTATTTTGTTAAGATATATTATAAAATTTAATATATTAATTATTAAAATGATATCTAAAAACTCTTTAATTCATTTGTAGAGTTTAAAAACACAACCATCAATTTTCTGTTTTCATTCTACTATTATTAGCTTACACCTTAAGTGTTCAATGGCTTAGAATGTTATTTTAAGTTTATATAACAAGATTCTTCTTTTATATATATACAGAAAACAAAACACACCCATCAATTTATACAATTATATTTCTTATAAAAATATTCATTATACTTAAAAAATAACTATAAATATTTATTCAACAATAAATATATAAGTTTCTTACTTAAAAAGAGCCATTTGGAATAAGTTAAATAGTATAAAAATAATTAATGATTTTTATCTCAATTTTTGCAAAATAACCAAAGATAAGATTTTAGGCTATGACCTAAGTAATTAGGTTTAAATATGTGTATTTAAACCTTTTCTTTACCCATTCTTTAATTAAATAATAAAATAAATATCCACACCCTTCATTTTTTTTTGTTTTCAGAAGTTTTTAAAAATATAAAATCCATAAAAAACTCAAAACGCAAACAATAAAATCAACCGAATTGAAGTTCTTTCGAACAAAAGAAAAAAAGGGACACAATCAAATAATTTTTGCAACTAAATTAAGTTTTCAAAGGTTGCCGCCACCGGCGACAGCCATTCTCCTCCCTCCTCCCTTTCCCTTAGATTCCCTCTTCCATCTTCTTCTTCGTCATTTTATTTCCTAAGACCCAGCCCCTTAAATTCAATCCTTTCCAAAGCCAGCAAGTTGCAGCTGTCGAAGCTTCGCCCACCCACAAGTCCGCCAGCGGAGACCCAGCCTCCGCCACCGGTTAATGCGCACCAGTCCAGTTCTTTGTTCTTCTTCTCTTCCAATTTCCATTGCCAAATAAGCGAGGACAAAGGTGATTTATTTACATCTCCGGACTCACCTGTTCTTTACAATTTGTTAAAAAGATTATTATTTTTTATTTAGTCCTAGTACAGATATAGATATAAACTATAAAACTTATTAATCCTCATGAATATTGTTTTTCTTCTGGCAGGTTTTTTTTTTTTGGAATTGTTTAGCTTTATGTGGACTTGTTCTTGAATGTGCTTTAAGAAAAAGAAAAAGAATGGTTCGTAGATTATCAACTAGATTATTGAACGTTTGCATTGCTTCATTTTGTAAAGCCCATAAATTGGAGAAAGCCGAAACGGTTATTATTGATGGTATAAGATTGGGAGTGCTCCCTGATGTCGTAACTTACAACATACTTATTGATGCATACTGTCGTTTAGTCGGAATCGATGCTGGTTACTCTGTTCTTCATAGAATGGGAGAAGCTGGGATTTCTCCAGATGTTATTTCTTACAATTCTTTGATAGCTGGCGCCAGTAGGAATTGCCAAATATCTCGGTCTTTTAATCTGTTTGATGAAATGATTCAAAGAGGTATTGCTCCTGATATTTGGAGTTACAATACTTTGATGCACAGCTTCTTCAAGTTAGGAAAACCAGATGAGGCCAATAGGGTTTTCCAGGATATAATACTTGTTGAGCATTTGCCTTGTGTCGCTACTTTTAACATTATGATGAATGGTCTCTGTAAGAATGGGTATACTGAGAATGCTTTTATGTTGTTTAGGAATTTACAGCGTCATGGATTTGTGCCAGAGTTAATGACATACAATATTCTTGTTAGTGGATTATGCAAGATTGGTAGATTAGGGTTGGCAATGAGGATTTTTAAAGAAATAGTAGAATCGGGTCATGTTCCAAATGCCATAACATACACTCCTGTACTGAGATGCTGCTTTAGGAAGAGGAAGTTTGAAGAAGGGCTCGAGTTATTGTCTGAGATGAAGAGTAAAGGGTATATGTTTGATGGTTTTGCTTACTGCACTGTTATTGGTGCTCTAATCAAGATAGGCAAGATGAAAGAGGCAACTGAATTCATGGTGGAGATGATGAGGACTGGTATTGAGCTTGATATAGTGTCTTATAACACCCTCATTAATATGTATTGTAAAGATAATAAGTTAGAAGAAGCCTACAAGTTGTTGGATGATATAGAAAAAAAAGGGTTGGAATGTGACAAATATACACACACAATAATGATTGATGCATTGTGCAAGGCAGGTAATATTGAGGGGGCTGCACGACATCTGAAGTACATGAGTACGATGGGCTTTGATTCAAACTTGGCTGCTTATAATTGTTTTATTGATGGGTTGTGTAAAGTTGGTCACATTGATGATGCAATGAAAGTCTTTAAATCAATGGAGGTAAGAGATTCTCTTACCTACTCCTCTTTGGTGCACAATCTTTGCAGAGCTGGAAGTTACCGCTCTGCATCCAAGCTTCTGCTATCTTGTTTGCGAAGTGGTATGAGAATACTGAAGTCTGCCCAACTGGCTGTCCTGTCTGGTCTTCGCTATTCTGGATTTCCTGGAGAGGCAAGGAAGGTTAAGTCCAAGATTCGTATAGCTCGAATATTAAATTATTGATAATTTGACCATTATTTTCCACTTCAGTGCTAGAAGTTGGAAGATTTTCTTAGTACAGCTGATTTAACATTGAGGATCATTTTTTGTGGATCAAGGTCCTGATCGGAATAATGTGACTTTCTTCTTGTTGTAAGATCAATGGCTTTTTTGGGGTGAAAAACTGTTGGCCAAGACAGAGATTAGCAATTCTGAATCAAACCGCAACTACTTGTTAAAGTATTCACTGCATGCATGTTTCCATCATCAAACACTAGATGATGTGATGTGAATTGCTTGAAACCTCTACTTCTGCTTCAAAAATGGCGTAGCATATTAACAGGAGATACATCTATGAAGCTTGTTACTAGATTGGCTGCTTGTCATGCGGTTGCTTCTGTTTTGGTGTTTTTTCTGGATTATTTGACTTCCCTTTCCTTCTATCAAAAATTGTCTCGAAGAATTTCTTAAATGGAATCATGTAAGGAATTGCTTCCTCTCAAAAGTGAATTATTTTATTCTTATTTTGATTTAATGAAGAAATTAGCCCTTTTTTTATTTTGATAAATTTGTTGCATGTTAGATAATTGACGTCCATTTTAGAAGCAGGAGTGTCAATAAACTTGGTATCTCCAGCTGCATCTCAGACATGCTAGTAATTTATTAATCAAAGCCTTGGATAAAATTTAATTTAAATATTCAACTTGAAGGGCTTGAACAGGGGATCTTTGTGGCTTTTTTCTTTTGGTTGGATAATTATGATAAACTTGAAGGTTATCTAGGCAGTTTGGATTTCTCAGCCAAGTGTGGTCAATAGTTATATATTATCTATCACTTCAGCATGGTTTTTTTTTTTAAATTTTTCTTATTTGCATTTTTTTTTCTAATTTGTAACAGACATAGATAAACTATTGACTTTGGACTTTCTTCCTTTCTAGGTTTGATGGGCCAACAGCAAGCTATATATTTGAAAACTTTCCTCTTCAGCTTTATAGTTTGGTCATGCTTTAAGCTTGCAATTTGACATTGGATTCATGTTTCTTTGCTTTCTTTTTTCCCCTTTTCTGCACTTCTGGTCTAAACAGAAAGGGAGTGTATCATAGAGAAAAGAGCGAGAGGAGTTTTCAGTGGAATGATAATACTATTAAAACTGAATATTCAGGAGACTGACATGCATGCTGTACTTTCTCACACTTGCAATTATTTATTTCTTTGTTCTTCTTTGTTTAATTTATCTCTTTAAAGTCACAGTATCTTCTTCCAATGTATTTCACTAGCATTGTAAATGAAGCAACTGCTGTATGTGTAATTAGTTTTGGACCCTGTTCATTAAATGACTGAATACATAGGCCTTAGGTAACAGTGGGTTCTAGTATTCAAAATAATAAGATGTCAAAAGTTGGTTATAATAATACAAGAATGTTGAAGGCCAGTGTATTGTTGGGAATTTTTACGCTTTGCTCTATTTTGCAGGGACATGAGCTGCTCTGTTTGCATCCTATCAAGGAGATATGCTCGTAGGTAATCATCCTTTTTTTTTTTTCATTTTACTTTTCTTTTGTTTGCTTCTTTTGTTTTGTTTTTGTTTTTTGTTTTTTTTTTGTGATTTTTTTTTCCGTGTTCACTTTTGCCTTTGTCTCTCTCTTTGTCATTGCTGTTTCCTCATTGTTCATTTATGTGCCATACTTGATGTTGTTATTGTCATCAGTGTTACCTTCAACTGCCATAAATTTGATCATGGAATTCTTCATGGGTATGTGTAGACAAACCTCAGGATAGAAAAGTTGATCCTTATGCTCATGTGAACTTTACTGATAAAATATAGTTAGTTTGAATTACACCTTTACGCCCTTTGCAGTTTAGAAGTTTGTCAAATAACATGAAAGCCCAAAATTTCTAATTCTTGCCACTACACTCATGAAAACCCTTAAAACTAATCAATAAAAAATTTAATAATATATTCAATTAATTTCATAATCTAAAGGTAATTTGACTAATAAACAGTATTAAATTCAAGTGAGCTTAAACATAGGAAAAAAATAAAATAAAAGTACTAAAAAGTACTAAATACGTTTGGTTGTAAGTCTCATTGTGATCCTTCTTTTTACACCTGCGCAGAAGTCAAAAAGACCAAAAAGTTTTGGAGTTGAATTGCTTGCTGAAGAAACTATATTCGTTGAGATACCTAAGGGCATGTTCGGTTTTACAAAACCTTCTGTTTTAATTTTCTGAAAACAATTTTCATTTTCTATTTTTTGATTGCTTAAAAGTGTGTTTGGTGAATAAAATGGAAAATAATTTTCTCAAAATGAAAATAGTAATAATGCATTCGGAATACTAGTGTTTTCTACTTATAAGAAAGAATGAATATGATTAGCAAATATAATCAGATTAAAAAACTTAAGTGAAGCTTTTTAGTGTCAACAATTTTTGTTAAAATAAATTAAATAAAAGTTATATTGTTGATAAATTTCAATAAATAGATAATTTATAAAAAGTTCAAGTAATCATAACAACTTAACAAGCATAAATGTCTTATTCAAAAAAGAATTTCAACTATAACTTACGAGTGACAAGTTTCTTTACTATTTAATTTCCATTGAATAAATTATAGATATAAATTTAATTGCATTTTATATTTTACTTAGTATATTGAGGTTTAATTATTTTTAATTAAGATCATGATATCACCCCTTTTTCTTTAATTTCATATAAAGTTGAACAGATGACCTTAGTTTTTTATCTGAATTTTGACAAGTGGCTTGATCCATTTTTCACCTCTTGTCTATCATGATTTGGGAACCCACTCAATAAAAATGTAAATTTGTTTTAAAAAATTTCTTAAAAAATTGAATAGATGACCTTAGTTTTTTATCTGAATTTTGACAAATGGCTTGTTCTATTCTTCTCCTCTTGTCTATTGTGGTTAGTGAACCCACTTTATGAAAATATAAAAGGCCTGGTTGTTGGATTCGGCCATTTGGAACAAAAGAAAGCAACGATATTAAGAGTAAAAAAAAAAAAAATTGCAGGATAAAATAATTGGGAATGGCATGTTCTCATTGTTTTCTCGTTACTCTCTTAAAAATAATCAAAATATCTTTTTTGTGTTCTCCAAATTTAGCCCATTTTCATTATCATTTTGTAGAAAGCAATTTTCAAAAACAGTCACCAAACATGTTCTCAACATCTTTTTTCCTGTTCTTTTGAGAAAATGAAAATAAAAAAATATTGATATTTTCTAAACCCAAACACACTAAAATTTTCAGAGAGCTAAACATACCGTTTGATCTGTTGACTTGAGCTTTTTCTCTGCTGTTCAAAACAACCAAATGAACTGTTAGAAAAAATTGGGTCTGATAGTTTTGGTTTTATGAGTTTACTTATTTGGTGCTGTTTTTTGGGATTAATATGGTTTGGTGAGATTTGCAGTACAGTTCTGGTTACTGGGAGATACCCTACATTATTATATGCACGTTATTGCTTCTCTATTTTATTGATTTATTACTCTCACGAAACTTCCCATGCAACCTTAATTGTAAATTGTATGATCCTAGTGGAGACCTGGTTTGGTCACCTGCTTAATTTTGTTATAGTCTGTATAAATGTAGGCTCTGATGTTTACTCATCAAGATAATTGTTGCAAGCTGTATAAGGCTGAGTATGAGAGATTGACATTGCTTCCCGAGTTGTTCCGTCTGGAGTATCTTGTATTTCATATGTGGTTACTATATTGTCAGATAAAAAGCATTAAGTAAGTTGAAACAGTGAATTTGGACAGGTTATAATCAAAATGAATCATTTGATCAGCAAAATTATTAATGCCGCATACATGACTTAGTATAACAATTTGACTATGCCCTGTGATTATTTCTCTGACAGTAATGTTGATTCTCATAATATAAGTAAGCAACCCTTAGTTTTACTTGGCTGATATAAATAAGCATTCAAGTCTAAAATTGACTTTTAGTTTTTTTTTTTTCTTTTTCAGTTCTTTCTGATTTGCCAAATGAAGACATCAGTACAACTTGGTATTTGCCTTGGTCTATTTAGGACATGCAAGCGAATCTGACCCTCTTAACAATTGAAAGCTGTAGAGAAAGTATCGTTAAAGAACTAAAATAAGTGCTCCATTCTCCATTTTTCTTTACAAAAAGAAAAAGGAAAAACTGCTGCATTGATTTAAATGCATCAGGGTTAAAGTTTTTCATAATTCCTTGGTGTGGGAAAAACTGAAGCTTCTTTTGCTTGTTATTTTTGCTACTTGCTTTTTACTTCCTAAAAACTAGCTATAAGTAAAGCAAATAATAGAAAGCAAAATCATAGTTAACTAAAAACAAACAAATAACTAAATTGCAACACTTGTTTTAACATAATTGTATTATAGAAAAGTAAAATCATATATTTTGTTGTTCAAGAGTTATATTTTCTACTTTCTATTCTTCAAAATATAATTTGCTTTATCCACACACAAATTTTGTTTTTTGCTTCCTGAAACAAAAAGCTAATAAAAGCATCAACCAAATGGTACCTTAGGTTGCTTTCTTCTCCATTGAACTTTTTAACTACATAAATTCATTTTACTGCCTTATGTATGTCATTCTTATGGATCTCAAACCATGAATTTGTCATTCGAAGTTGTAACTTTTACCCTTTCCAATTTGTGCTTTCACATGTGGATTTGTATGCTTTTTTCCCTAAAATCAATATTCCCTAAATTGTCCAAAAATAACTTAATTTGGCAAACAAGCATTTCTATTCTGTTTCTAATCTGTGCTATGCAAACAACATTCTCTATCACAAGTACTGATGCAATAAAACATGCTTAATCTTCCATCTTGTGATTAAGCCTAAAGTAGCTATGTTTGACTTTTTCTAAATTGCATTTCATCAACAATAAATGTCTTTTGCTACAAGGATTTTGGACATAATCAAAGGCTAAGGAACCATTCTGGCATAT